GGGCAGTGGGGAAATGTGAAGTTAGAGGCTTGCTTTGGGCTGGGCATGAGCCTCTCAGCGTGGGGGAGATGTGTTGTGCGAGTATGATGAAGCACGTATAAGCAGAGTTTTCCCTTCTCTCGGATCGCGAGCTGTACGACCTGCCCTGAATCCCTGAACACACAGAGGGTAAAGAGGAGGAGGTGACACTTTCTCGTGAAGCTACAGGAATGGAGATGAATGCCAGTCTGCTTGTAATACTGACTGGGCAGTGTCCTCTATACCACTTGTCAATTGTACTTATAATGTAGAAGCAATCCTTCGCTCTGCTCTTTAGCTGCCTGTACAAACACATTAGTACGTTTTACGAGCTCATTGAAGTGAAGCTGTTCTGCGTTGACGTAGCTAACGGAGCATCTAGGTTTTCTAATCAGACATTTAGATGTTTCAGTGTTCCTAGTGAACACGCTCATCTCTGCACATTTTGATTTTTTTAAAGCAATGTGCAGATATGACTAGGACTCTTTGCTAAGAGTGGCTATTTTTGTCACAGAGAACCTGTTTGCTATACTCCTGTCTGAAAGTACTGTCCCCCCAGGGCCTGCCGGGCGCACGACTCGGCAGAGTCTCTGCACTGCTTTGTCATGAAGCCGAGGGGTGACCCTGCAGCTGGGGCAGGCTGACCCACGCTGTCCAAGTCTCAAGGAAGGCACGTGCTGGAGGAGAAAAGATTATTTATTTCCCTTTCCTTAGACGCAACAGGGCTTTTCTCGCAGTCCACATTGAGGCAAGGAGTTAATTTATGTTCAGCTGCACAGATCCAGGATTAGAAATAGCAGGTATAAGCTGCCTCCAGCTCCTATCCTCTCCGCAAGGTGCAGAGCTCTGTGGTATTCTTCTGTGTATTCACCCTTCACAAGCTCCTCGCTGCCTGTATCATGCTTTTACTCTCGGTTTTCATCTTGAATACCAAGGATCCTTTGAGTGAGTACAACACGATGAATGCATTTCTTCATTCTTAATCGGCCTTCAGATTCTGTTCGTCTTACCCTGCACAAGGCCAAGCTCCTGCAGTTTTGGTGGGTTTGTGTCTGCTTCGTTTTGTGCTTGGTATTTTATCTGAGCAAATGATTTGCTCATTTTAAGACAGCATGACTGCCTTTCCCCCTGTGCCTGGTTGCAGCGATTGCTAGTGTCTGCTTCCTGTGTCTGCAGGTGCTCGATGTGTACACCAGCTTCTCCTGGTTTGGGGTCCCTGTGGAATATTGGGGGGGAATATCTGAACTGAGTTTGCCTGTTTGGTCTGTTTTTATCCACACTGTCGGGGTCTGCATGAAAAACAAACATGCGTGTAGAGAACCGCTTGCATCGCAGTGGGAGAGAGCAGCCTGCAGGCAGCTCAAGGCCTTCTTTTTTTTATTTGAGTTACATAACACACCTTTTCCCTCGCTGTCGTGCGAGATCTGGAGTGAGCAGCAGGTCTCTTTCAGTAGCGGAAGGCGGTTTCTCCATAGCAACAGATCTCTG